GCTCTTGTGGTCTTGTTTTAATTGTCTTCAACTTCAAGTTGAACTTGCATATGAGCAGTTGATGGTCTGTTCCACAATCAGCTCCTGGCCTTGTTTTGGGTGAAGATATTGAGCTTCTCCATCACCTCTTGCCACAGATGCAGTCAATCGGATTCCTGTGTACTCTGTCTGGTGAAGTCCACGTGTATAGCCACCATTTGTGTTGTTGAAAAAATGTATTTGCAATGAATTAGTCATTGGTCTTGCAAAATTCTATCATGCAATCTCCAGCATTATTTCTATCTCCAAGGCCAAATTTTCCAATACTAGTGATTCTTCTTTGTTTCCAATTTTTGCATTCCAGTCAACAGTAATAATCAGCACATCTTGATTGCATGTTTGGTCAATTTCAGATTGCAGAAGGTGGTAGAAATCTTCAATTTTCTCATGTTTGGCTTTGGTGGTTGGTGCATAAATTTGAGTAATAGTAGTATTAACTGGCTTAACTTGTAGGTGTATACATACTATTCTATCACTGACAACATTGTACTTCAGGATAGATCTTGAAACATTCTTTGTGACAATGAATGCCATGCCATTCCTCTTCACTTTGTCATTTCTGGCATAGTAGATCATATGGTTATCTGATTTAAAATGGCCCAAACTGGTCCATTTCAGCTCACTAATGCCTAGGATGGGAGCTGTGGTAGCATAGGGCCTAAGGCACTTGACTGCTAACCAGAAGGCTTGTGGTTCAAACCCACCAGTGACTCCTTGGAAGGAAGGCTGGGCAATCTACTTCCGTAGCGATACTGCCTCAGAAACCGAAGGAGGGGGTCTCTATGAGTCGGGTCCTACTTGACAGCACATAACAACAATAACAACAATGCCTAGGATATCGATCTTTATGTGTACCATCTCATTTTTGACAACTTCCAATTTTGCTAGATTCATACTTTGTACATTCTATGTTCTGATTATGAATGGATTTTTGCAGCTGTTTCTTCTCCTATTGAGTCGTGTCACATCAGCAAATGGAGGCCCTGAAAGTTCTACTTTATCCATATCATTAAGATAGGTGCTACTCTGATGAGGCAGCTCTTTCCCAGTCATATTTTGAGTGCCTTCTGACCTGAGGGGCTCATCTTCCGGCACTGTATCGGACAATGTTTCAGGGCTATTCAAAAGATTTTCCAGTAATATATCAGACAGTGTTTCACTACTATTCATAAGGTTTTCAGTGGCCAATTTTTTGAGAAGTGGATGGCCTCTTCCTTCTTCTAAGTCTGTCTCAGTCTGGAAGCTCCACAAAAACTGGGTCCACCATGGGTACCCCTGCTGGCACAGCCTCCTGTCACAGCAACATGCAAGCCACCACAGTACGACAAACCAACTGACAAGTTCATCTCCCTTAGCTGTTCCAACCACTCCCCTCACTTCCTGGGCTTCCCCCTACCTGTTCCTGCCGGCTTTGTCTGCCACTGCTCCCTGTCTCCTTGGGGGCTTGTTCCCCTATACACTGGTATACATATCCATAAATGTATGCGTGTGTGTGTGTGTGTGTGTGTATTCAGGCAGCCTTAGGGAGGTGGGTAAGACAGAAAGAAGCACGAAGAGAAGCAGCAGGAAGAAAAAGAAACTGAAAGAGCAAAAGAAATAGAGAGAGAGAGGAGACAAGGAACCCCCTAAAAGAGTTGTACCACTGGTCAAGGGCTGTAACACTGAAGACAGCAAGACGCCTGGAAGGGGCTCAGTGGCAGAGCCAGTAATGACAGATGGTTCGGCCAAGAGAAGTCTGTCTTCGGGGCTGAGCAGAGCTGAGAGAGCTGTCCTGCACTGAAGAAGGGAGACTGCCTACATGCTTCCTGATCCTGATTCCTGAGTCCAGGGTGTTGATTCTGATCCTGGGTTGTACTCTGTTCCTTAATAAACCACTTAACTGTAAGAATGGTCTCTGAGTTCCATGTGGCTGTTACAGTGTGAACCCAGAAGAGAAGCAGAGTGTGCCATGGGAGGAAAGCTGGTATCAGAATTGGTAAAAAAAAGTTGAAGAGAGGCAGGTCTGATGTCTGTCTCATAGGGATCAGACTTGGGCTGATCATGGTTGGCTTCATCCCCCCTGCAGTTTACCAGGTTTGGATGCTACTACAGGTATACTCTCCCCACTCTACAGTGGAGGTCTTCAAGGGTGGCAGGGGGCTTTAAGTCAGAGGTTTCTCTTCCTTCATGATGCTCACTGTAAACCATACCGGCATGTTATATATGCTTCTGTATATACAACTGCAACCATGAAGACAAAGGCCAGTGTGGCTCCAGGACAGCCCAGCACTACCAGGGACCTATCAGCTTGGTCTATCAGCACTGCCAGAGACCTATCAGCTTGCCTGCTCCCTCAAGCCCTCCCTCCCCACTCTCCTTTGGCCCCTGCAGCCCAAGGTGGGCTCTTCAAGGTCCTTGGGTTGGTGTTGGGGAGCAATTCCCACGTGGATCTGGCCTGGTGGTTCCAGAATCTTCTGTTAGCTAAACTACAAATGCAAGTTTCAGTGCCACATTTAACTGAAAATAAGAGTATTTTCTTACTGTCAACACTGAAAACTGAAGCCCTGGGGAAATCCCATAGCTTTGAACCTCAGCAGCACCGCCACACACTGTCCTTAGGGAGAACCGGCCCTCTGGCACCATGGACTTCCAAGATTGCACCCTGGGACCCTCAGGCCTGCCATTCCCCTTCCTCTCTGCTGGTCACGTGCAGACTGGGGTGGGGGGCAAGTCCCACTGTCACTTGAGGAGTTGGGGGTAATAGAGGACCCAGGGTCCTGTGCTGGAGATGACCAAGGGCTGGACAATCAGCAGGGCCAGCTCACCTACGTGACGCCCCTCCTCTGGCTCTTTGCTCTCTGTCTTCCCAGTCTCCACAGGCGAGGACTCATGGGTCTCAAACATGTTCTCAGAGACACTGGGCATGATGACTTTATCGTATAGATTTTTGTCTTCGTATAGGAAGAAACTACTCTAAAAAGAGAACAAAACATCTGCACTTGGTGACTTTCCCATTTCACGTTGTCAATGTCCCCAACGACTAGCTGTGGCCCAGTGCTGTCCATGTTCTGCATTCCTGGGGCTTCAGACCTACAGGGCTTGTCTGGAGCTCAGGCAGTGCAGCCCTCTACTCCATGCCAGATGACCTCCAGCATCATGGATTCCATGGACCTTGAGGCTGAGTGGCTGGGCTCTGAACCTACCACTTCTGATCCTGGTTTCCCTGGCCAGGGGCTGGCTGTTTTGCAGCCTGGAGTCACTCCAGTCTCCCTCCCACCTCCTCAGCTGTTTTTGGGGACAGATACCCCCCCACACACACACTTGAGTACCTTCAGATGGTCCCAGGTGCTGCTCTTTCCCTCTGCACCCTCCCCATGGGATTAGCCCCTCCAGGCTCCACCCTGGTTCTGGCTTCCCTGAGCTTCAGCCAAACTACTAGTCTGCTGGCCGGCCAGGGAGTTCACTCACTGTTTTCAGAGAGGTGGCCAGATCACAGGACTCGGAAGTGGGCTGGAACTTGAACCCGGTTCCCAAGCCTCCGATATTAGTCAGTGTGATGACCCGGGATGCAGTCTCACCCACCACATAGCTGCCAAAATCGATGAGGTCCTTATCAAGGGACAGCTGCAAGAGGACAAGGCAGCCTGAGCCGCTGTGGCCAGAACACCCTGGGGTGCCCCTGCCAGGTCTCCACTCATCCCAGCCCTGTGCCCAGCCTGGACACGTCCACAGCCAAGAAATCCTAGGTTTGTGTGTGGATAGTGACTATGTCCTGGCAAATGGCAGAAAAGACCGTTTCTGACAGAATTAGCATTTTTCTTTTTTCTATCTGTGTAAAGGCCCTGGTAGCAGAGTTGTGGAACTGAGCTGTGGAGGTTGGGCCTGAGGTCCCTACAGGACACACTCTTCATTCCTGTGTATATTCCCCTATGCTATCCTTGGCCACAGTGGTGGGACACCTCCCATGAGCCCTGTAAATTGTTTCCTCTACTGTCTCACACAAGTGCACTCCAGGGCAGATGTCTATTAAGAGTAAGGGGTAGTGTGTCATGATGTTACAAATTTGCTTTGAAGGGGGTCAACAAATACATACAAGTAGCTGGATGGAGTAAGTGTTTTTTTTTTTTTTTTTTTTTTAAAAGGACTCAAGAGGACACAAAGAACTGTGGGAAGCAGTACAGTCTTCTCAGATGAGTCCTGGGGTCTCAGACTGGGGACACACAGAGTCGGCTCTGGTCTTGTTCTTCCAGTGTCATCTGAGTGGTCATCTTTTCAGAATACTCACTACATGTCACCCCTACCTAAGGACAGGCTATAGCTGACCTGAGCTGTACCCCATGCTGCCCACTAACTCATGGGAGCACACTGCCCTGACTATGCCTGGGCCTCATGCACACACATGCACACAACACTCCGGAGCATGCTGCTGCCACCATTTCCACACCTCACCCCTCATACACACAGGATGCACACTCATGGGGCCACAACCAGGGTATCCCAAGAAACGCCAGATTTTGGAACTTACAGAACATTTCTTGGTTGAACACTTTAGTGGAACAGAAAATCCACCCGTCTGAGCCAAAAACGAGACGTTTCCTTCCAGATCTTTATTTATCTAAACAATAAAGCAACTTTAACCACTCCAAGTTTTTGTAACTTTACCCAGCTGCACACACTGTGTGTGTCTACAAAGCTACAGTCTCACTGGGCTGCCCACAAACCCCAGGCAGGGTCAGCAGAACATGCTCAGTAGGGTCCCACATGTTGTGTGTGGATTTGAGAATACAGAATTGAAGGAAGTCCTGTAACTATGTTCAGAATTGCAGAGACATATTAATGTTTCTTGGAAATAAAGCTCAGCAAAATAGAGGCCCACAGGGATCTAAGGACCCAGCAGCATCTGATTCCATCCACCACCCTACAGAATAGTGTGAGAACAGTTCCCTTCCACACTTCCTGGCTTTGGGATCAAAGCACTCACCATAGGCTTGAAGGTGACAAGCACTTCACAGGACATCCCAGCTGACATGGGACCAGGGGGATTAAAGCTTCAAGCACAGAACCAGAGAACATGTGATTAGATCTACACAAGGGGACACTCATTGTTTATACAAGTGACACAGGCCAAATAGGACTGACTACACAGAGAGATTACCACCTGGGCAGATGGGGCTCCTCTGGGCCTCTGGCCTCCCTCCCTTCTGCCCAGTCTGCCTCACTGAGTGCTGGAGAACAATTTTTGGTCTGTTGGATGCACTGTCATCTCCAAGTGCCCAAACAGTGCCCAGTCCACAGAACATGCTCAATTAATATTTGAATGTTGTTTAAGTAAGTGAGTGAGTGTGTGAATGAATGAATGAGGCAAATCCCAGAGGCCGACACCCAGAGGATGTTGTGAGCAGCAGTCACAGATCCTCTGAGGACAGGTGGCCATCCTAGAACCAGGACCTACAGTGTGAGCCAGGGAGGGAGTAAGAATGGAGAGCCCTGCATACTAGGGAGCCTATGGGCCCCACCTTCTCTGAAAGACCTAGGAAACTGCTAAAAATACTAAGTGTCATAGTGCCTGAAACGTACTCTCAAAAATCTCATAATAAAAACAGTATTATTTGTGGTGAGAGAGAATGATAAAGCATGTAAAATTTAACAGTGGAAGATGAGGCAATCTACTTCCATAAAGATTTACAGCCTTGGAAACCCAATGGGGGTCACTATGAGTTGGAACTGACTCAATGGGAGCGGGTTTGGTTTTGTTGTTTTTATGAAATGAACAGAAACAGAATGTACATTTTTGAAACTATGTGAGAAAAAGGATACCACAGCAACAGAGTAAACAAGAATAGCAAATATAAACTAAGATGTAAAAAATAAATCCAAATACATAATCACAGTAAATGTAGTCAGATTTAATTCTTCAGTTAAATGAAAGACATAAGAAGATTAAGAATTTTAAATAAAGCAAATACTTCTGTGAAACAAAATCATACATACACATAAATAAGAAATTTGGAGTGATGGTGAAACAATAAGAGAACGAAATGTAAGTTGGTAGAAATCAGGAAGAAAATGGAGGAAAAAAAAAATTTTCTAAAAAAAATGAAGGCAAAATTCTAAGGAGGAGATGAGAGACATAGCCAAAAACACAAGAAAGATCATTGTGAGGAAAATGAAAAAAACAAAAAATAAAAAAGAGAGAGAGAAAAGAAGAAAGCATTAAAAAGAATCAGAAAGACAATAATAGACGTTAAAAAACAAACAAACAAACAAAAAATAGCAAAGAAAATCCAACATATACATAAATGGAGTCTCAGAAGAAGAAACATTGGGAGAGAGTAAAATTTAAGCATGTAATTCAAGGAAACAGTTCTGAAATAAAATGCAACTTTAATATTCATGTTGAAAAGATACACTAACTGCCAGTGAAAACTGACCCAAAATGGTCAACATCAAAACTGACAATAAAGAAAGAAAATCTGGGCAGCCAGACAAAAAGCTTAAGTAGTTTATAATAGGAAAAATCATGTTAGTCTCAGATGACTTCAACACAAGAAAGATGGAAGAGCAGCCTCTAGAAAATCTTAAAGAACATTTGATGACAAACTCTTTCAAGTATAAAGATTCTAGATAAAAAGTTCTAAACATGAAGGAACTCTGGCATTGCCATTGCCATGTGTCCTTCTTGAGACAATCAGGCTAAGGATGAGCTTCACCCAACTGGAGGATGTAAAATACAGCCAAAGGTCTGGTCATGAGCACTGGATACATTTAACAGTGAAACAGATTAAAACAAATGCAGGGTTTGGTGACAGAATAGAATATAATTGTTATGACTTTGGGAGCTCTGGTGGCATAGTGCCTAAGGCATTTGACTGCTAACCAGAAGGCTGGCGGTTCAAATCCACCAGCCATTCCTCAGAAGAAAGGTTAGGCAATCCACTTCTGTAGTGATATCGCCTTGGAAACCTAAGGAGGGGTCACTACGAGTCGGATCTGACTTGACAGCAGTGAGTTTGTTTTTTTCTGGTTTATGACAATGCCGAGATTATATTAAAAGAGGCAGCATTTTAAATGGGAATATTTGATGTGACACATGTTGCCAACAATCCCCTCACCCCTCCTGAGTCCGAGCCCATCATCTTACTCGATGTGGATGAAATCTCTGAGGTGTTCCTCCACACCCACTAGCTTGCAGTAGTTAATTGTGTAGGTGGCATTTATCAACGTGATCTTTTTCTTGTATACTTTTCCAATATCAAAGTCCTAGAAATATCAGAGGAGGAGTGTCAGAGAGAAGCTGCAGCTGTAAGTATTTAAAAAGCTTTTCTACAAGATGACCCTCTCATTGTGTGCCAGAACAGGCCACGGCATTATAAACAGCAGTGGTAGTGAGGAAGGTTGCAATGATGACATGTGAGTGGTCAACATTCTAAAATCCAGCTGGACCACATAAACTGTTCCCAAGGGAAGGCTTTCCCCTGAATTAAGAAGGGATCCCCTCCCCTCTCTGGGGTGCATGAAGAGCAGGGCAAGGAGGTGGCCAGTCTTGTAAGAGCCCTCGCCACCCAAGGCAGGAATGGGATCTACAGGGACCAAGGGGTCAGTGCTGAAAGGGAAAGCTCAGACAACATAGACTCTAGGGTTGGCATTTGACTTCACTGGATGGACCAGAGAACAGGTAGAACCCAGGGAATTGAAGAGACTACTTTCTCCTACAAACTTGGACAAATGCAACCAGATGAACAGTGGGTTCCTTAACCTTCCTTGTTTGCCACTCTGTTGTTAGATGCTATCGAGTTGGCTCCAACTCATAATGACCGTACAATAAAACAAAACACTGCCCAGTCTTGTGCCAGCCTCACAATCCTTGCTATAACTGAGCCCATCGTTGCAGCCACTGTGTCAATTCATCTCATTGAGGGCCTTCCCCTTTTTGTTGACACTCTGCACCTGCTGAAATCCATCTTCACTGGGCTTACCTTGCATGAAGTAAAAATTTGCCCACTGGAATGGGCCTGGCCAGCAAGGTCGCCATGTCCCCCAGAGGTTCAGCACTGCATTAAAAGGTGTGCAGAATTTTCTGAGGGGCTCAACATGGACACTTCCTGCCCTGTGTGCCCTCTATGGGATAGTCTTGGGTCCTTCTGATGAGACTGCCCCTCTCACACTCAGCCTCCCTCTGGATGGCAGATGGCACCCCCTCCCAGGCCCCTGTCACCAGAGGAAGGCTTCTGTGCACCAGAGTCAAGAGAAAAGGCACCAGATGTAGGATGGTGGAGAAGGACTCCTTCATTGCCAGCACTGCTCTGATGGTAGGGGCTTACCTTGAAGTGTATAAGTTCAGGCTTGCTGTTAAAGGGGCGGCCTTTGAACTCACGCCCAGACACCACTTGTTTGTGTACTACACCACTCCGCAGCCGTTCCATGGTGTGGGCTAGGATGTCTTTGTCCATCTTGGTCCCACCCACGGGCTTCCGTTCCACATCCTCCTTGGGCACCTGCTTCATAGATTTGCCATCTCAGTGACGGCAGACTGGACTGCGGGCTCTCCACGAGACCTCTAAAGATAGCTTGGAGGTGACAGAGTTGGCCAGATGCACAGCCAAAGACTTCCAGAAGACAGTGGAGCAGAAAAGAGTGCATTGTCCTGGCAAGACCCTTAAGAAACCCTCACTTTAATTTCTGGTTCACAACATAGCAGAAGAAAAGGAAAAGCAAAAGGAATAAAAAACAGAGATGTACAGGATTCAGGCATATTTCTGGGAAACAGAGGCAAGGAGAGGACTTTTCTCACTCTTTAAATTAGCCAATAGATAGTATCCAGAAAGTTTTATAGGAAGCAGTATTTCCTAAGAGGCCATGTCAACACAGTTTGGAGAAGGAGGTGGCTGGGCCGGTATGGAGGGGGTTGCAAGTGGGATATGGGGAGCATAGCTGAGGGAAGCACATGGCTAGCGGGCATGAATGAGGCCTGGGTGGGTCTGTGGGACAGGGAAGATTGTGGGAGATGGAGAGTCAATGAGAAGTCGCACACAAAGGCACTCAGCTGTGAGGGGCTCGGGAAGGAGGGCTCTCACCTGGTATGGTGTGTAGTCCTCATTCCAGAGCCCAGAGATTTCTGGCTCCGCAAATATTTCCTCCTCTGGGTTGGTGAGGAGCCCAGGATCACACTGCACAGACTCGCTGGAGATGGCCTGCAGTAGCTGGGGGGCTTCAGGGTACACCAGGTCCTCAGTATCCTACAATCAGGGGGAGAGATGTCTGTGGCTCTTGGGATGGCCTGGGAGCTCCCACAGTCCCTGGGCCTCCTCTGGACTAGGTTGTCCTGGTTGTAGGCTGGGAAGGCAGGGCTGCACTGCCTGTTCTGAAAGGACACTGTGCTGCTTGTTACAGAACTAAGACACACTCATCATAGAAGACACAACACAGACATGAAGGGAGAAAGTGGAAGTCATCCAGTCTGTGCAGGGCATGCTGGGCACTGTGCTTGCAGGTCCTTTATTCTGCATGCAATGAGATGTTGGCACACAGTCTTATAACTTTTTCCACTTAAAATATAAATTAAAATCTTTATGCATCATTGAATATTTTCTACAGTACCCACAAGAACCCATAAAATATTCTATCTCAGTCTGCAGAATGCTCTAGTGTGCCTTGGTCATAGGCACTGTCTCTAATCCTTGCTAACAGGAGCCGAGACTGAGGGGCCCACTGCACTGGTTCACCCCTGGGCAGCTGTGATGCTTCATTAGACTAGTTCTTCAACCTGGGCTTCCTGCCTCAGCTCATTTGTAGAAGTGGGAACACACTGTGAGCCCCCCAGTCTGAACCTCTCTTCTAGAGGGAGAGACAAGAAAGGGAGACATGGACAGGAGTGTTGTCAACAGTGAAAAATTCCCCCCCAGAAGCCACTTAGGTGCTGGTGACGGGGCAGAATAACAGGAATGTTGGGTCAGGTGGGTGGGAAGGACTTCCTCATGACAGTTGAGCAGAGTGTGCAGGGAGAGACACTGAGGGCAGAGGAGTCAGCGGGGGCCTCAAGGCAGAGGAAGAGCCAGTCAATGTTGTGGATGGGGCAGCTCAGGCAGGGGCCTGGGAGAGCAGAAGCACCTTCCAAAGGACACTGGCACCCAATCAAGGGCCCCGAGGGATAAGGTGAAGGAGCAGAGGCTGGAGCCCACGGCTCTGACCTTTAGGTTTGGGTGCTTATTGAAAGGGGCAGAAGTCAAGTGCCCACTCAGCAGGTCTGAGAGGTAAGTGAGAAAAAAACTATCCCCGCTTTCCTGCCTTGCAACTGATGACAATGGACACAGAGCAGGCCTGTGGTACCAAAGAAGGAGGTAAGGAAGGGGAGAGAGGGAAGAAAGGAGGGAAGGGAGGGAAGGAGGACAGGCATGTGGCTGAACAAGTTCACAACTCTCCCCATACAAGCTGACCATGATCCTCTGCCTGGCTCTGCTGCTGGGAGTCAGGTTCGATGGGGAGGGTCCATCTTGTTGGGAGGCTGCTGGCAGGGAAAGGCCCTGCTGGGTACACTGGACTAAGAGGACACTGAGTCCTGTGGGGGCATCATGGCTGGGGGCACCCACATGTGGGGCAAGCTGATAGGCTCCTATGGGAGAATGGCCTATGAAAGGCTAGGAGCCCATAGCGTGGGCCTTACCCCTTGCCCCTGAGCTAGCACTGGGAGGGCACAGCTCCAGGCACACACAGCCTTGGGTGGGAGTGGTTGAAGCTGCCAGTGGTGGCTATGGCCTCTGCCCTGTGACCTTCAGAAGGACTAGGGGGGCACTTTGCAGGTGGGAAGTTTAGTTGAACCTGAGAAGATCCCTGGTGGGCACAGCAACAGTAAATAAACACATAAATAAACATCAACATTCTAAAGCCTACCCTTTGTCAGACGGGTATTGTAGAATTAATTGTCCAACAAACCATTTAGCAGTTCCCAAATACTGTGCTGGGTTTCAGGATTTTTCAGTGTGACCAACTGTTGTGTGTGGGCCAGCAGCAGGGGGCACCCTGTGCCACAGCTGGGGTGGAGCTGGATGCAGACTGGCAACAGTGCTAAGCAGCAGAAGACAAGGCACATCTCTCTAGACTTTGAATTCATGTCTCAGACTTGGAGCATGTGAAGGTAGGACTAAGGCCCGGCAGTCTCTGCTGTCTCAGCCTCACCAGGGCACAGGGTGGAAGGAGGGTGGGGGAGAGGTCCTGCTCCTGGGGGCACCAGCCCCTATCTGCTAGGGGAGGGTTGGCATCAGGTGACAGGAGCCTGACGCTCTGGCCTGCATGTGTGCATGATGCTCCTAACACCTCGCCATGCAGGGGGCAGGCTGAGGGTGAGTCAGCCTTTGCAAAGGACTCCGGGGAAACTTCAGAGGCCACAGGACACCCAACACTGCTGGGGATGGCCCTCAGGGAGGCAACAAAGGGAACAGATGGAGTTACGAGGAGGGTCTCTGTGGCACCAAGACAATAAAGTCCCTGCATAGCAGGAACATGCTGGGGTCAGGGGAAGAAGCGAATCCTAGAGGTGGGACTGAGTGGTTTCTTTTGATTTGATTTCTATTAAGAAACTTATACAATGATTTGGACATGGGTCCCCAAGGCCCCCTTCACCTCACCTACCCGGAGGTGTGTGGATAGGGACCAGAAGGGGCTTCTTGCTCACCAGCGGGTATGAGGGGGCCGTGGTGGTCACACCCTCCAAGAAGTCGGCCACATAACACCAGGTCTTGTCCCTCAGCGTGAGCCGGTCCGAGGGCTGAGCAGGGGGCAGTTGCTTCCTCCTCCTGTTCTCCTCCTCGGCCTCCTCCTTCCAAAGCCGGCTTACAATTTCCAGCTTCCGGTGCCTCTGCTCCTCCTCAAAGGCCCTGGGGGAAGACAGTGCCTCAGAGGCGGGAGGATACCATTGCCCTGGCTGAGGGACAAGGCTCAGCTCTCCCAGCCCCCACCTACTGCTCAGGCCCAACCCGGCTCGGGTGGGAAAAATGCAGTCCCAGTGAGCTCTAGGCAGGGGGGCAGAGAGAGGGGGCCAGGATGCTGTCAGGCCTCAACCCTAGCCTGGCCCAGCTACCTTATCCAGTCCTGCCCAATCCAGTTGGCCCAGTGTCCATGATAAACCTCAGCCTCTCATGACCTGCCCCAGTATCCAGGCTGAGGCACACTGAGGGCAGAACCAGGGCTGAGGCCATTCTCTCACGCATTCATTCATTCCCTTGCTCTTTCCAGATGGCCCTTGCTGGGTGCCTTTCATGTGCTGGGCCTGTGCTGGGCTGAGGAACTCAGGGGTCTTAGGGCTTCCCCAGGGTCCCCCTAAAGTGGGCAGATAGAAAATGACTGCAGAACACCCAGAGTGTCTGCAGTGTGGACGCTTCTGTGAACACGTCAAGGCTCTGAGACTCCCAGGAGGCAGACATGCCCCAATCGAGGGAGGATGAGAGTAACACTCCTGCTAAGGGCAGGCAGAGCAGCCTGGGCTATTTGCCATCCCTGGAGCAGGGCTGAGAGAGGGGGGAAGGGGGTGGGAGGGGGCAAGGCAGGCACGGGGCCTCATGGAAAGCCTGCACCGGACAGCTCCAATGCTGGAAGCCCACTGCTGCGGGCACTGGAGCGGGTGGACAGCAGAGGCTGGAAAGGAATGGGGGACTGGCCACACTGAGTCACGGGCAGGCCCCCAGACCCAAAGTGGGGGCCCGGGAAGAGAAAGACTCCCATCTTCCCTCATGCTGCCTCCTGTCCACCCTCACCGTTTCTGAGCCTCCAGCTCCTGGCGCCGGCGCTGATGGAAAAGCTGTTTGAACGCATCCCCACCTTGGGCCAGGATTGCCTCCTTCTCTACTTGGGCCTTCTGCTTGGCCAGCTCAGCCCGGGTCTGGCCCCACGCCTGAAACTTCCGGAGTGTTTCCTTAGAAATGGAGAACACAGTGGTCACATCATTTGGATATGAGTATGCCCACACACACAGGTACAGACATGTATGTGAGCACACACATGCAAACACATATCCACATACCATGTATATACATGCATGTGAATATACACGTATACATGTGCACATATGCAAACAGACTTTCTTTTGAACGGGTATCCTTGACATTGTGGAAGCCTGTGGTGGACTGTGAAAATGACCATAACCCCTTACCCATCCCTTCCCCAGTGTTCTCCACCTGAGGTCATGAGCCCCAGCCCCAGCTCTCACCCTATCTCTCCTGCAGTGAGGACCCTGCAAGGGCCTCCCATGCTGAGCACAGGCTGTCCCTGCAGGCTCTGCCACTGCTTGCTCTATCCTCCTTCCCATGGCTACCATTGCCCTGTCCCTCACCATTCCCATCTCATTGCATGCTCTTCTCCTCTTGCCTGAGTCTTTGTAGATGCTGTTCCCACTCTTTCCACCCACTTCCTGTGGGCTGTAATCAGGCCTGTGCCCTCATTACAAGCCTCCCAGTGTCTGGTCCCCTGGTTCACCTCATCACAGCAAAGCCCTCTCTCTTCCCAGTGGGCAAGAGGCCCAGAGCTGGAGCTCAGTAAGTCTCCAAGGTCACCTGGATGATGGTCCAAGAGTGGGGCCTCAGGAGAACATAACATGGTGGGTAGGCAAGTGGGCAGTGTGAGGGAGCATCTGGGTCTGCTGTTGGGAGGGGAGACCGTATACCCGGTTTGCAGTGATGTTGTTCTTCAGCGCCAGCACGGCATCCATGCGCCTCTTCAGGTGTTCACGTGACTCCATCTCCTCCTTCTGCTCCTGTTCCCGGATTCTGGAGGAAGGAAGCGGTTCTCACCTGGGTCATGCTAGTGGGTAGTCAGTATGGAGAAGGGCTGTTGGGTGTTGATCATCACCACCAAGAAGTTACTTTACCTCTTTACAGAAGAGGTAAAAAAGAAAGTACTGTGGCTGATGCCAGCTTACAAGGAAAAATGGTTTAAGACATGTTTGTCTAGACTCTAAAGGTTTGTTATATCTTGTGGGACTCTTCTGAAAATAAATAGGTAAGAAACTCAGCACTGAAAACACAGACTTACTGCCCTTTGATAATGTGGTGTCAATCTAACAACAGACTTGGGGAACTTTCCAACTAAAGCAAGTGGCCCTGGCTCTCAGTGCCCCTCTAAGGATATCGACGGGGGGGGGGGGGGGCGGTCCAGGGAGAAGCCGGCACCTGCCCAGGGAGGCCTTCAAGAACTTGATTGCGATCTTGTGGTTCTTCTGGGCATCTTCCACCAGCTTCTGGTGCTGAAGCCCATGCTCCTTCTGGATGTGCATGGATTTCCTGCAGGGACATGGAGGGGAGTGGCAACAAGTCATGCAAGAACACAGTGTATCTGCTGGGGGACAGGCCTGGGAAGAGTTGGTCCCATAGGCAACAGGATGCTCAGCAAATTGCCACTGGGGACTCTCAGGGTTTAAGGGACCTAGGCTGGTTCAGGGGCCTGCAAAAAGGAAGGACCAGGGGAAATAGGGCTCTAGAGAGGGGCAGGACAGCATGAAGGACTAGGGCCAGTGACGGGGCTTAGTCTCTGTGGACAGATGAAGGAGGAGGGAGCCCTGTGGGGCATCTGTGCCTGGGCTCAGTCTGACAGGCAGAGGTGGAAAGCTCTGGTGTAGGTCAGACAACTGGATGAAGGTTGCCATGGAAGCAGATGGGATGGACGGCACATGTGTGGGGGTGGTCTGGGGGTCTGTGGTAGAAAGGAGAGGGGTGCATTAGTAGCTGGAGGTGCTGGGCTCCACATCTGTGAACAATCCTGGATGGGTTTACCAGAGGCCAGGATGCTAGGTCCATCTGGGTTGGCTGAAAAGAAGGCACTTAGACATGGGCTACCCTGGGAGAATGGCAGGACCAAGGGGATTGAACACCTGAAGTCCCCAGGGTTAGCAAAGAGGACAGAGAAAGAACAGCCAGAGGTGTGGGGAAAATCTAGAGCGCAGCCTAGGGGCAGGGAGTGGAATGTCCAGGGGGTAGGTAGATGACAAGTAAGACAACAGGATGGCTTGGGAGGCATCTGCTGGCTTCAGTTACTCATGGTGGCTCATGACTGGCAAGACCATTCAGGGAGGGGCACTGTCAGACCAGGGTCAGCAGGGGTATAGGCCTGAGTACAGATGGCCAGTGAGGGGATTAGAGGGTCAATGGGCTCAGGGTTGGCAGGTCAGAGAGGAGGGAGACCTTTTGAGTACTGGGAAGACTGAGGCTGGAGACTCCCAGGTGACAGGAGGAGGGGAGGCAGAGGGAGCCAGGCAGGTGCTGGCAGATCGCCCCAGAGGGCAGCCAGTGAAGAGTGTAGGACTGACAGTGAAGAAAGCACAGGGTGATGAGTGAGCAAGCTCAGGGCCGGAGCCATGGCGTGGGCTGGGCCCCACTCACCGGATCCTCAGCAGCCGGTTCCGCTCGGCTTTCCTGAAGGCCGCCTTCTCCTCATGGAGCCTCTCGGCTGCCCGAGCCTGAAGGCGCCTCTCCTCAGCCGCCTCCTCCTCCTCGAGGGCCTTACGGGTGGTGTCCAGGTGTCCGTTCAGTATCTCAATGTCCCACATGGCATTCCTTGCAAGCAAGGTGTGCTTGTCATGTATGGACAAAGGGCTGGGCCAGAATTTGGGAGTTTTGGAATGGGAGCCTGGGGCTGGGCCGTCCATGCAGTGTCTGCCCAGGGGCTGGGCTCTGAGTTCTGCAAACATCCCAGGGGCACATGGGCATCTCTGGCAGGTCAGCCCCCTCCTCCTCCCACGGCTTTGGCTGTTTCCACCCACGTTTCCAATATCAGAAAACCCACCATCACATCCACTCCACCTGGGTTCCACCTGGCTTTGTCACCTCCTGCACAGCTCCCCTGGGCTTGCCTGCCAGGCTGTCAGGGACTGACCCACCAACTGTGGTCAGTTTACTGCCCTGAGGACAGCACTAAGAGATGTGAGCAGTGAGTAGCTCTGCTGGTCTAGAAGTCACAGGAGCTAATGAACCCGAGACTAGGACCCTATCTTTCAATGTTTCCTGTGTGTCTGTCCCATGGCCCAGGAAGCACACGGCACATACGGCTGGCTCCTTGTCACAAGTCAGGGGCATTCCCGGTCAACCCTGGGCTACAGCAACCCTGTTTGTGCAGCGGCCGGCTTGGCTGAGAGCTCCTCCCCAGGGCAGAGAAGTCGGCTTGTTGCCTTCCAGGCAAGCTCGGCAGCGCCCTCTCCCGACAACATACTTTCAGCTATGCAAGAATTCCTGCCAACTGGCAGGTGGTGCAAGTCGCCACCTGCAGACAAAGCCCCTCATGTTGACATGTGGCAGCCCACCTGGAAGATGAGGGCTTGGCTAGAGCTGGCCTCACGAAGGTTTGAACCCCTGAAGTTGGTAGAGAGCTTCAGAAGGTATCTCTGCCTCCTTTCTGACAGGAAATGTTTCAGTTGAGTTGTTATCTGATATAAAGTTTGCTGTAGATTTTCAGTTGTCAGGGAGGAGCCCTGATGGTGCAGTGGTTAAGCACTTGGCTGCTAATTGAAAGGTTGGAGGTTTGAACCCACCAGTGGCATCTTGGGAGAAAGATATGGCTGTCTGCTCCTGTGAAAATTACAGCCTTGGAAATCCCATGGGAGAAGTTCTACTCTGTCCTACAGGGTTGATAAGAGTCAGAATGAACTGATGGCAACAGGATAACAGGTCGTTGTTAGGTGCCACAGAGTCTATTTTGACTCACAGTGATCCCCTGTGTTAACAGAGTACAACTGTCCCGTGGGGTTTCCTAGGTTGTAATCTTTATGGGAGCAGACTACCAGGTCTTTCTCTACAGAGTGGCTGGTGGGATAGAACCGCAAACCTTTTGGTTAGCAGCGGAGCACTTAACCATTGCTCCATGAGGGTTCCTTTTGGGTTTTTAGTAGACACCCTTACTCATGTAGAGAGCATTCTCTTCAATTCCTGTTTTGTTAAAGAGTTTTCTTTAAGGGAGAGTTTTGCTACTAGTGGTGAGTGATCTGGAAAAGGACAGCGAGAATGGTCACACAACTTGACTTCAACCAACGTCACTGAATTATACACATAGCAATTGTTGAGATGGTACATGTTTTGTTATGTATATTTTTGCCACAATGAAACTGAAAAACTTATTTTTTCAAAATAAAATCATGAATAAATGTTGAACTGAGATACTCATAGGTTTTCTTCTTTAATGTGTGAATGTTAAGATCTTCTAATATTAAGTCTTTTTTGGGTTCCTAGTATGTAACCCCCTACTTGGCATGGTGTGTGTGCATGAGAGTGTCCAATGCATGGTTAGATTCAGATGCTTAATATTCTATTTAGGATTTGTCATATACATTAAGTGGGATTGGCCCACAACTGTCCTGTCATTGTTTTACATCAAGGTTGAACCATTGCACTTTAAAAACTGGACATACCATGCTCTCTGTGGGGATAGTTTTAAATGACTGATTCCATTTTTTAGGTCTTCTGTGATTGGACGCAGCTCCTGACATTCACTGGCATGTGGTGTTTCCATCTCTTCCTCTGTCAGTTTGCCTCTACGGCAGGTCCAGGGTGGGATGATTTTTTTCATTCTACTCATGACTGAAGGTGATACTTCAATCTGAAAATTCATGCTCTTATCATTCTGGAAAATTCTCAGCCATTATTTGATTGACTGTTGCTTCCCCCCACTCTCTTTCAAGTGGGTGAATGACAATTTAAGGTGAATTAACAGCTGACGAGATCTCTGTGTGGAAAGGAGGACAGTGATTGGGAGAGGCTGGGATTCCAAGAGCAGCAATGAGGATATTTGTGTGGATTTGGACAAGTCTGAGTACGCTGAGCCCCCAGCTCCTCTGAATTCCCCTTGCTGGTGGAAGTGGCCTTCCTTTCCCTCCACTGGATAAGGCTGGCCCTATGACCCTCATCTGAGGCCCTGTGATCCGTCTCCTGAGTCTGTTGCCCTGTGAGGCAGGGGCCAAGCACAATGTCTGACCTGACAGGGGGCTCCCAGACTAGACAAATGCAGCAAATGTTTATCAGCAGAAACCTGGGGAAGGGATGTGTACCTGCAGCCCACTTGTGCAGGCTGCCCAGAAGCTTGGGTCTTGTAGAGATTCAGGGGGCCAGCCAGAGAGGATTGGACATAGTTAGGTAAACTTGCCAGCCATTCTGGACCCCTATGTTTACCAGAGCAGTCAGGAGTGTTTCTAATGGTCCACTCAACTGGCTTGTGGAAAGCTGGACTCAACAGAAACCTATGCTGCGAAAAGCTCAGATACCAGACATTCCTTGGCATCACATAGAAGAAGGAATTCAAATATTTAGAGCTGGAGAGGTTTTATCATCTGCTGCTTATCCAAGGCTCAACTATGTCTAGAGAGGATTCAGGGGACCCTCAGTTCCCCAAGGCTTTGGAAAACACTTAGGTAAATACTTAGGTAGTTTCCTGGATGCTTGAAAAGTGCTGCTGTGGCACTTCACCTGTGGAGGAGGGTGGGCTGGCACCATGGCACCATAGAGGGCAGCGGGTACTGTGCCTTTTCAGAGATAGGCCAGCAGGTACTTTTGGCCAGGCTCATTGGTTATGGTGCTCTTAGCCCGTCAGTCTGTCGTATTGTGGTGGCTTGCATATTGCTGTGATGCTGGGAACTATGCCATGGGCATTTCAACTACTAGCAGGGTCACCCATGGTGGACAGGTTTCAGCAGTGCTTCCAGACTAAGACAGTCTAGGAAGAAAGGCCTGGTAATCTACTCCCCATATTAGCCAGTTATGGTGCTATGGATCACAAGATAATATTGTCCAACTCATTAGCTTTGGATCCATCATCAGCAGAGATCAATCACAAGAGGAGTACATCACGTTTGGTGAAGCAGAGGGCCAGTGGGAGTGAAGAAGACCCTCAGCTGAGATGAACTCTCATAGTAGCCATAATGATGGACTTGGACATGCCAGAGACCCTGAGGATGATGCGAGACTGGGCAGAATTTTGCATGTGAGGTTGCTATGAGTCATAGGTGATTTGATAGTGACTAAAAACAACAGAATTAAAACAGATGAGGATCCACTAAAGTCCCACTTCCTCGGAATAAATGGAAAAACTCCAGATTTGCAAGTAGAAGCCTGATTTCAACAATCAAAAAAGAGTCATGGACCTTCACCCGATTCTCTGACCCTTGTGGATTCATAGACCCAGAGTCTTCTGAAAGAGAGGAGACAAGTGCCCTTGAGGAAAGGCCCTATGATAACATCTCATGAAGTCTTGCAACTTTATAGCCCAGCCCTCCATGAGGCATCCGTGGCCACATGTCAGGGCAGCTGAGAATGCCTGTCCTTTTGGTGTTGTTGGACCCTAGCTCTGAGCTAAGATCAAAGGGAGCCAGAAGGTACTGACGAGAATGAGGATTGAGGTAAATGAGGGACCCAGAGGGCCTATGAACACATCCTGCAGTAATTTTCCTAGCTCTTGAAAAGACATTTTTGGCAACTGGCAGGAGCCTCACTATGGCCTCCTGACCTGTGGAATGGAAGCTGTGGCAGGAAAGGCCAAGGGAAGCCCCTTGAGCTGCCTCTCCCTTCAAGTACAATCCGCTGAAAGCACTATTGCATGCCTGGGGAGTGGCCAAAATGAGCACCGAGACATGAGGAGGTGAGACATGAGGAGGTGAGGGTAGCAGCCCCTACTGCATCTTCTGTAGCCTGCTGTACAGCCTGCCCAGAAGCTTGGGTCTTACAGATGGACTGTGGGCCACCTCTTCAGTGTGTGGTGCTCTATTTGAGGTCATTGCTAGACCAAAGCACCACAGAGCCCAGCACCTGGGATATAGCTTCCATCTAGAAAGACATTTTTTTCCATCTCACTAAGTAAAGGGTACCCAAAGCAGTTTGTGTTCACCTGGATGGAACAGCAACACAACCTCAATATCCTCCACCTCAGCTGCTGAGACTTTCCAGATCACAAGAGAATATTGTCCAATATACATCTTGCCATCCAACAAGACATCATGCTGGTCCACCACATTGATGACATCATGCTAGGAGGTCCTAGTAAATAGTAGCAGGTATCCTAGAAGCCCAAGATAAGACACAAGTATGTCACAGGGTGAGGATAAACCCCATGAAAATATGAGGATGTGGCACCTCAGGAAAGTTTCTAGAAGTCCAACTGTCTGAAGAATGAGAGGCTATCTCTTTCAAAGTGAAAGACAAATGGTTGTACCTTGCATCCTGTACCACCAAGAAAGAGACAAACACTTGGTAGACATTTTTGGATTTTAGAGGCAGCATATATAGTAAAACCTCATAAGAGATCTTGAGCCAGAACCACCCAGCTAAACCATTCCTGGATTCTTGACCCTCAAGGAACTATGTAACATAATAGATGTTTGTTATTCTAAGCTGCTAACTTTTGGGGGTGATTTGTTATACAGCAAAATTAACACGTGGAATGATAACAGTCAGGTGACGCACATTGCAAGGCTAAGGTGCTGTCCTCCACGGATTTGGATTTGTCTGTGAACCAGTGACCAGCACAGTAGTGTTTCTCTAGTAGCTAGAATCTATGAACTCAGGAGCCACG